CTTATTTCAATGAAAATTGGATAATAAAAAATAAAATGAATTAAAATACACTTGTTCCTCAAAACTTATTTCGTTAGAGTTCCCAAACTTCAAGCTATTAATATTTCTATTAAATTTCTTAATCTTATTGGAATATAACATATTAAAATATTTAATTTTAATTACATGTTATATTCCAATCGAGAAAACGTAATTATGTAACTATTAATTACACATTCATATATTAATGTAAGTATTAAATTGTTTTTATACTTTTATACAATTAAAAACGATTAGTTCCTAGATTTTAAATCTATATAATTAGTTGTAATTTACTTCCTTACGAAAGATTTTAGATTAAAAATTTTGTTATAGGAAATTAATTTGAATGTTTTATGTGAGTTCATAAATAGAATTAACACATCACATTGATACAAAATAATAACATCTTGATTCTGTATGAAAGTGAATAATAAATATTTTAATTAATGTTCAAATTGTATAAATAGGCAATTAACGAAGTTATTGGATATTAGATGTTATATTTTTATCTTTGACATAAAATTATTTCTATTTTTTCTAGTAACTCCAAATCTCATTTTATTTTTAAACGAAACATTTGAATTTTACTATATATATAGTAAAATATAATGATGCAGAAATGCATATATAGTAAAGTATAGATGCAGAAATAAAAGCACTCAATTATTATTTTTAATATTCAAACGCTTGCAAAAAATTATCATAATATTTAATATTTAATCGCTTGTCGACTAAACTTTGTGAAAGAAAGTCATGCAATAAATTTTAAAGGTTTATTGTAAGAGAAAGACTTCAATTTTCAAAACCATATATTTATACATACAATTATATATACTTTCTACAGCATATATTTATATATACAATATATTACATGTATACTTACGTATGTACTATATTACTATAGTTATACTATAGTTATACTAAACGATAATTGCTCGAATAATTTAAATTTTAGATACATACAGTTTCTATAATAATGCTCATTGTTACAATGAAGATTGTATGTGTTAACAATTGCAAGAAACATTGCTTTCGTAATAGAAATAAGAGAGAGTAAAAAAAATGATATTCGAATAGTTTAAGCAATGCACATTTATATAGTCAGTTATAGAGGTTTACACACACATGTCTGTTAAAATTCAAATATTTAAAACAAAAAAGGAAATGTATTTTATGGATTTTAATCCTGTTGTATTCTTTTGGCCATTTTTGACTCGCTTGTATCTTTCTATCTGAAATATTAACGTATGAAAAAATTCTTGTTAGTAATTTCTTAGTTCTTTAAGAATTGAGTAAGATTGAAGTTTGAGGATCAAAGTAGGATTTCTTAGTTAAAATTAGACCAAAATAATGATAACGTTTCTTTCATTTATTTAAAAAGCAATATCTGTAAGTGAGAAATATGATCCTAGAAAAATCAATGTACATTATAATTATCATGTATAAAGTAAAAAGAATAAAATTTTATAATTATAATTATAATAATAATAAGAATATGTTTATTGGCATTAATGTATCAATGATGATTGTGTTCGTGTCTTTTTATTTTCATTTATTATATTTTCTAACAACATAAAAAAACATGGTGACATGACATTTCTATGTAACTTTAATTAATAACTAATAATTAGTGCCTATAAAATATATTAATTCCTATAAAATATGGTAAAATAAAATATAATATAATAAAATAAAATATATTAAATATAATAAATAATTTTTTTTTAAATATTTAAGATTTTACAGATGTATATGTATAAATTATCATAATTAACTTACATATCTACGATTTGCAAAAATGGTGAACTTAGAAACCAAAATTATTCTTTAAATGAAATCGTTATATGGAATTTTATTATATACCATAATTATTTGTTATTTGATTATTATAATTTATTAGTAGTTAATAATAAAGTAGTCAATAATAAATTTATTAGTAATTAATAATCATATAAAGTTAATAAATATATTCTTAGGACACAAGATTCAACCGTGAAATTGACGCATTAACGGGATATAGGACCAGAGCTCTTCTGTGTATGCCAATAAAGGATTGCAACGGAGATGTTATTGGAGTTGCACAGGTTATCAATAAACTCGGTGGCGAAAGTCAATTTACTACGCAAGACGAAAAAGTTTTTGCTGGATATTTGCAATTCTGTGGAATTGGATTAAGGAATGCGCAGCTATATGAAAAAAGTCAATTAGAGGTGAAAAGAAATCAGGTCAGTAAACGAACAGAATTGAACAGAATATTCTCGCAAAATTGCCCGTACATAACGTGCGTAGCGAATGATGAAATAATACATCGAATAGTAAACAAATAATTCATACTCTCATGTTTTTGATCTTTTGATTTTCTTTTTTTTTTTCTCTCTCCTTTAATTCAAATTATTGATTTTAAATCACGCCTATTTGTTATTTCAGGTACTTTTGGACTTGGCTAGGATGATTTTCGAAGAACAGAGCACGATAGAGCACATGGTCTTGAGGATTTTAACACATACGCAATCCTTAATACAGTGTCAACGAGTACAGGTAAATCAATTTTTTTAAATCTATATTCAGCTGTATGATATGTACAAAATGTATAAAAGAAAATACGTAAAATGAAATATTCTATACAGGTTCTTCTCGTGCATAAGGCATCAAAGGGCAGTTTCTCACGAGTGTTTGATTTCGAGGCGAACGACCTCACCGGCGAGGATTCAGATTCTCGCACTAGGTGAATGAAGTTTGTAATTACGTTCTCATTTCTCTTCACTCAATTACCAGCAATAATTCAATTTCCTCGGAAACCTTATATGTATTCGGTTTTGTTCACGCAGTCCATTCGAGAGCAGATTCCCTATAAATGTCGGCATCACTGGCTATGTTGCTACGACTGGCGAGGTAAATGAACTGATTAATAGAGCAATGTATTATGACATTTTTTTTTTTTTTT